CCGACTACATTTCAGACTCGGCTTTCGGCTAAGCACAATGCAGTGAATAGCATCCAAAATGAGCTGAATTACAAAGCGTACCCTTCCATCTTTGAGAAACTCTTTACTTTAACAACATTTTCCTGGTAGTCTTCTTATTTGGAGTTTCTCATTTTGAAGATACAATCCCTCATACAACCAGCAATAATTTTTTTTTGCGTAGTTTCGCATAATGAATATGTTCTCTCTTCTCAAAATTTGAAAGTTGCCTCCTGACCACGGTACTTTGGGCTGGTAGTAGTACCTAAGAAAAAACAGATTGTTAGTTTTGGAATCCCTATATATACGTAAACAAAGTAAAATCGACTGCTCTATTGCTGCTACCTGTTTAACCCGCTTTGCTTCACACAGTTGAAAAAAAAAAACTTTGAAAAGCTAAATAATAGTGAAATGTCCTTTAGAAATTTGAACAATAACACTGGATCACAAATTTTAATTTGTTTTTTGTACTGCCAACCGCCTCCATCAAATTTGTATGTAGAATCGCTCGCTGATTCCGAAAAAGGAGTTAATTTTTAATTTTATGGATACGTTTTCGAGATATTTGCAATTTACCGTTATTCAGCTTAATAAAAAGAGTGGTTCCACTTAATCACGTATATCTTACGAACCGATTAAATAGACATACTACGAGATACGGCAGATGAAAGAAAATTAGACTCCATAAACTGTATTTACATCATTTTTTAATAGCCTTGATCGTTTCTGAGAAATTAATTAATCATTTCAGATTTTTTGTTTTTTTTTTTACCTAAAAATCAAAAAAATGCAAAGTTTAACAGGGAAAAAATTAAAAAAATAACAGTTTCTGTGTAAATGTTTTGCACTTGTGGTAAAGCCTGCTCCATTAAGCTACCAACGAAGGGAAGGACGATGGATAAATAAGAAAGTAATGATTGCTCAGATGAAAATGCGCATGGATTTTTTTGTATGAAATATGAGCAGAAAAGAGTGTTACTCATACGCCACGTACACCTGAAAAGGTAGAGTGTTTGCATCGAAAGCAAGTGGTGCCAGAAATTGTTAATTAATTTATCAGAAAATATCAGGGCTATCGAAAAGTGATGTATATACGGTTTATGGAGAATTTTATTAGCTTTTATTTGCCGTATCCCGTATTACAATTATTCAATGGATTCGTAAGATATATGTAAGTGAAACCACTCGAAGTTGTCCATAAAAAAAAAAAACTATCTCGATTTTCGGAATCACCGAGCAATTCAACATAGGAATTGGATAGTGGCATCTATGGAACCATTTTGCTGTAAACCAGTGTAATCATGAATGTCTAATTTCGATTCATACTCACAAATACCCAGTTTTTCTACGCCAAATTAAAGACTTCAGAAACCATCAACATATGTGCTCCTGGACTCGAATCCCCTTGTTCATAGGCATGCCATTTTTATGAGCTGTTAAGGCGCCATAACACCAATTGACGAAAAAAGTGGAGTGGCCCCTATAAGACGGGGCGGATGTTCACTGTAAGCATTGTCGCCGGCTTGTGCCTGAATTATGGTAATCGTGATCAAGTTATCACTGCTTTTACCAAGTTGGATACGGAAGAAAAAGTAGGTATGCAGGTGAACGAGGGCAAGCAAACCGTCAATTATAATTTCGAAAATTTTCGTTTATTTAGCAAACAGCATTGACATCGGTCTTTGTTTGTTGGCGGCGGCCTATACCGCAGATACAGCATAGCTGCATGGCTGTCTTCACGTGCTTGAAAATCTCGCTTGCGTGACAATGAAAATATTTGTTTCCATTTCAAAGGCAATTTTGCAAAAATTTTTCGAAAAAACTTTTTCCACTTAACACTGTCATTATACTTTCTACATGAATACTATTACTTTCTCCTTCCAAAAATATCAAATTATTAATGGGGGAATTCGATTTCACTACAAAGAGAATAAATATTTGCTTTCATTCATTGCAAGGCGAATTTATATAAGGTGGTGTTACTAGCTCAGCTGATTTTGTGTATGTGTTTCGCCGCACGGCTTCTGATATCAAATTGAAAAATTTTGTTTGAATTTCTACAATACTCTTACAGATTTTGACAGTTTATGCCGCCAAAGCAAAAACAAAATACATGTAAATTTTTGTTTTTGTACTCCTGCTATCACCTTATATTAATTCGCCTTGATTCATTGCAATAAAAAGAATTTCTTTGTCAAAATTTCTTAATACATACAGTGAATCCTCGGTATAACGAACATCAATGAAACGTAAATTCAGTATTAGGAAATGTTTGCTTAGTCACCTGAAAAAACCTAATTTTTGCGAAATTTTCCATACAAAATTGCATTATAGATATAATGAAGAAATGTTGAGCTTGAAAATCTTCGGAATATATTGACGGTTAAAGTCCCTTTGGCAAAAGCCTCTGCATATCGAATTCTGAATATGTTCAAGTTTAGAGTCAAATTATAAAAAACAAAACTATGCTTATAACGATTTTTTCCAAAATTTTGAATTTTTCGTTGCATTGAGGTTTTAACATTATATGATCCGACAAATATTTAGTACAGCTTTCATACAAAAAACATCCAAAAAATTACCGAAAACAGGTAAAAACGTTGATTTTTGTATGGAAATTGTTGCAAATACATTTTATTATTTATTTTTTTACAAAAGTGCAAAGAAAAAATATACCATTCACAAACATATTTTAGATTTTGAGCAACAACTGCAAATTGACTTTACATAGGGAAATTATAAACAAGTGAAGTAATAAACCAGATTTTTCGCTTTATTTTCTTCATTTTCTTGACATTCGGCTATCTTATAGAAATTTTTGAAGCCAAATTTTCAAATAAGATAGTGTCAAAACTTTCTCGCTCTTTAATTTTCGTACACAGTGTTATTTGACTTAATAAAATAAATATGTAAATATCAGAGTTCTCCCAAAAAGTTTTCCACTCATAAGGAAATAGTGTGAAGTGTGATGAAGTTTAAAATTTTTTTTTCCATTTGCCTCATTTTTAGTTAGCATTTTTCAAATAAAAGTTTAGAATAAAATGCAATGAAAAATTTTTTTTAACTAGACGAATTAGTAAAAATTAGAAAAGTAAAAATTTTTTAAGGGTAAAGTCAAGGCACATTAAACAGGTAGTATCAGTAGAGCAAAAAGAACATTTGCGTGTATTTTGTTGTTGCTTCTGGTATCGAAAGTGTCAAAAACTGTTCTGAATTTTTTCTTCTAAATCAAAGCGTGCCATGTGAAATACAAAAAATTATAATAATAAAAAAAAAAGGGAAAAAATAAAAATTGATGCAACTTTCTTTCCTAGTAAATTTGTTTGCTTCTCGAAGCATTGATCCATCCTTTGCAAGGCCCAGTAATCAGCGGTTGTGCTGCTGAGTTGGGCGAACGTTCCAAAAGCTGCTATTCAATCGCTTGTTTTGTATGGAAAAAGGTTTCACATGCAAATGGATTTTAACAATACAGAATTTTTGTGAGAAAAAATTAAAAATATTTGACATTTTCGAGACCAAATAATTTGAAAATAAATCAAATCAGCTGCTCTACTGATACTACCTGTTCAATGTACCTTGGGTAAAGTTAATTTTTAGGAAAAAAATTATAAACAGAGACGTAACTTTTATAAGAGAAAAGAATAAAAGTCAATCAAAAATTATTATATTAAGATACAAATTTGTGGAGTCATATTTAACGAATTTTACGTGACAGAGAAAATCCGAGATGTTTTTTGAGGATAGAAAAAAGTCCAGACGCGATGGAGCAAAACGGACTTCAGATTCGTGTTCAGCGGCCCCAAAAACATATAGCAGACGAGGTTTGGTCAAAGGAACCTTTCATCGATTTTTTTTTTTTGTGGACCTGTGTTATTGTTCATGGACGTATATTATAAAAGACCTTTCATAATAATTATGTGTGAGAAAATTTTTTTAAGTCATCGATAATTATTATTGTAAGACTTATATAATAAAAGTCTTTTCATAATAATTATCAGCGAGATAATTTTTTTAAGCCTTGAAAGACTTTTATTTTGAGACTTATATTATAAAAGTCTATTCATAATAATTATGAGTGCGAAAAAATTTTTTTAGTCTTAAAAGATGGGGCTTGTTCAGGACAATTTCGGGACTAGTTGCGAGCCATTTTGGAGCTAGTTGGGGGACAGTGGGGATTAGTTTGTGGCCAGTTGGGTTGAGTTTGGGGCCAGTTCATGACTACATATATATGTATATAATATTGACCAAAACTAGTCCCTAACTGGTCCCAAACTACTCCTCAACAAGTTCCAAACTGTTCCCGAACTTGTCCCCAACTCGTCCCGAAGTAATCCCGAAATGGTTCTGAACAAGTCTTTTAGGACTTAAACAATTTTTTCACACTCATAATTATTATGACAAGACTTTTATAATATAAGTCTCAAACTAAAGGTGTATGAAGACTTAAACATATTTATCTCAATGATAATTATTATGATAAGACCTTTATAATATAATTCTTAAAATAATAGTTATGGATGCTTAAAAAAAATTTCTCACTCATAATTATTATCAAAATTTGGATAACTTTTTTAAAACTCTACCATGAAATAATTATTATTCTGGGTCTCTGATCATAAAAGGCTTTATTTTGCGGAAAAAAACTTATTTTTTGGGAAAATAATAATAATTTTTTGGAGTAAAGTGTAAATTTTAGAAAAACATAAAATTTATCAAAAATTTGTTGGAAAAATATTTTATTTAGTAGAAATAATATTTATGCAAAGCCTATAATTTCCTACTAAATAAACAAAAAAAAAAGGTTTTTGGGAAAAAAATTTTGAGGAATTTGAATTTAAAAAAAATTTTTTTTTTGTAATTTCTTAAGAAAACTATGTATGTACATACATAAGTTTATGTTTTTAGCGGCTTTAAAAAATGAGGAAGTTCCCAATTCTAAGTCAATTCTTTCAATGATATGTTTACAGTACACAACGAGTTAGAACTTCATATGTTGCACAGTGTTATTCAGAAACGTATTGATACAACTGATTATGTACTTTGGACCCTAGTAGTTGCTGCTAGACCTTACCATTCGCATGGCTGATCATGTGGATATTTTGCGTCTCCTTTCTGAGGAAGAGTTTCAAGAATTACTACAATTATATCGGGATAAATATGGAGAAAAGAATTTCCATTATATCTTGATGTATAATCAAAACAAATGGAATCAGCAATTGAAGAATTTAGATAACAAAACGGAGAGTGGTGACGAAAATGGATGGCTTCCTTTCCGTAAAGCATTCTACACTTACAGAAATGATGATTTTAGAAAATACGGTACCTATGTAAGTCTACACTATGATATGGTAAGTAACAAAAATGTATATATACTTATACACGAGTATTTGTACATATATAAATAAATTTAATAATTAACTAACATAAATATGTATGTATGTATGTATGTATATACTATATTCACTCCTCGCAGATGCAAAGCGTGTCATTTCATTCGTGGGAGCCAAGTCAAGCACAAATATTGAAATGTTTGCGTGGAACTAAATTGATCGACTGGCGTAGTGGGCCGCTATTAACAAATGTAGATCTTGAATTTTGTGATGAGGTAAAAAAGATTGCTTTAGCTCATGGAGCAAGCGTACAACGTGCGAGACGTTGCCTCTGGCTGATATTAGAGCATGAAAAAGCGACTAAACTCAATATTGAAAAGTAAGTACCATATACTTACATATGTATGTACATTACGGTGCATCGCCTTCAAAAAATACAAAATAAATATAAAATCGGTACTGCTTTCCATCGAAATTATAAAATATATTATATTTAATATTAATATTTAAGTGAGTAGGACTGTTTTAAAAATACCTCCAAATATCGTTTTTTTCATAAATAAAATTATATATAATATAATATAAAATTATCAAAGACTAGAGANATTTAAGTGAGTAGGACTGTTTTAAAAATACCTCCAAATATCGTTTTTTTTCATAAATAAAATTATATATAATATAATATAAAATTATCAAAGACTACCGGAAAGGTTAAACTTAGAAGGTCTGCAGAAAAATGTTTAAACATTTTATCAACGGAATCCAAATGACATTTTCGGAGGTATTTCCAAGTCACTCCAGCTCACGTAAATATTGAATTTTTTTCGAAATACTTTGGTGAAAGTCTGAATATTTAATGCATTTTATGATTTCAGCGGAAAACCCGCAACTTTTTTTTGGTGAGACATCCTAATGCACATATGTACAAGTATCTCATAAACTTCACTACAACTTTTCTCCCTCTTTTCGCCAGGTTGAAAGATGGCTTTACAGTTGACAAGCTAAGCACTGATAATGCTCCGCTCATACACGATTTATGGGCGAACAAGAAAGAAGGTTCGCTGGGGTTCGTAAGTGGGCTCATTGAGTTGAATGAAACGGCAGGAATTTTCAAAGTTGCCGACGGCGAACTGGTGGCATGGGCTTTTCAAAATGACTTCTCTGGTTTAGGGTAATTTGGGAGCTCTCAATTTTTACTTTTCGTATGCTTTACTAAATAATTTAATGTTTAGTATATTACAAGTTGTAGAAGCGGAACAAAGAAAGGGATTCGGTGGAGTTTTGGCAGCATATTTGTGTAAACAAGTGGCCGCAGCGGAACAAGTGCATTTATCAGCATGGGTCGTTAGTGAAAATTTCAAATCAAAAGCTCTTTTAGAGAAACTAGGATTTTACATTTTAGCAACAGCAGAGTGGATACAGTTAAATAAGGCATAAAAGAGGATTTAAAAAGCACATACTAAGGACCGTTTTCTCAAGTAACCTGTAACTTTAAGACTCACTTTATGTTTAACGGGTGCATCAAAATTTATGATTATGTCTAAAGTAAAGCATATTATTATCGGTTTTATATTGGTTTACAACCAAGAAACATACATACGTCAAAAAACGGTAAAATAATGCTTAACTTTAGAGATAGCTTTATTTTTAATCCAGCCTTTAAATATAAAGTGTGCTTTAAAGTTAAAGGTTACTTCAGAAAAAGGCCCTAAATGGCAAAGGAAGGATTTAGTTTACAACATAACTAGATCACAGACAAAAAAAAAAAATGTACGCATAGAAAAATTTTATAAAAGACCATACACAACTTAAAAAATAATAGCAATAAAAAATTAATCCTAATAAACTAATAGTTTTTGTATTCTAGCGAAATGTTAAATTAAAATTCGTAGAGATGCCCTCTGACACACTTGGGCGGAGGCTCGGCTTGAAGTGGGTCCTATGATAGTATCAAAACGGAAACAACTCAGGAAGATGTAACACTCCTCAAATAGGAGCATTGAGGCTTAACTGTGCGGATGAGGCTACAAGGCTAGAGGTATACAAAAAATCATCCCATGGCAATCCAAAGTGCGGGGCTGTGACAAGTGACCGGTCCACACAGTAGTAAAATAATATGCTGCCAAAAACGTTTATTGGCCTTTGCACCAAGTGCTGACCACAAAAGATGTACGGACTGTGTTGCGGCTCTGTGCGTAATTGGCAATTGTGTTCGTGTTATAAACCTTCAACCATCGCCGTACATACCTAATTGCAGCTTGACCTCCTTCGTCCAGGTGATGAAGGGTACGCCGTACCGAGGATAGGACTACTACTTATTAGCGAGAAAAGTCGCAGTAATAGCCGTTTACTTTCAAGCACAGGCCATTTCCGGACCCAAATATGAAATCAGTGCAACTCTCTCTGATTGATGTGTAGCGGGGATCAGGTTTCACTTAGAGTACGTGTATAGTAATACTTCAAGTGTATTTACTAGAGGGGACAGGAGAGTCATCGGACTATAGGTCTCCAATTTGCTGGCTGGTTTAACGGGTTTCAGTTGTGGTACTCTCTGAGTGGCCAACAACAAGTTGGGGAACTTAGTGAGTTATTTTATTCCCGTTGGACTCAGATGTTTTACCATCAACACGAATAGTCCTTAGAGGCCAATGGCTTTGGAGTATTTTTTCCTCAGATAGCCTACTTATCTTCGATATTGATGAAGTAAGAGGCACGCTGCGCTTTTGCAGTTTTATGATACTAGAAAATAGTCCTTATTCGCGCCATCGCATCCAGCCCTTCACAATTCCTTTGCTTATGTTGGTTTGCAACAAGTGGCCGAATCCTAAAGTTGAGATAACGGAAGACTGATCCAGCGTAGATCGTCACGATCATTTGCACAGAAAAGATTTATCAAAGGAGATGATTATTGATAGATGGTCTGAAGTTAGTGGTATGGTAGGCGGCCATCATGATTCAATAATAAAAGGTTTTCTGGCTCCCTCTTGGCAAAATCGGCTCGCTTAGCGAGGCTCTGTGTGTGGGTTCGTACATATGTGTAAAGCTTTTGTAAGGGAGTGAAGGGACTGTCAAAACTCTAATGTCAATAGGCTGCCATGGGTGGATAAAGGACGTCGGATTCATATTTTCAATTGCCCACGGAATCCAAAGTAGCATCTGTTGTTAATTTTCACTTCTCTCTTCAACAATGTGTTTTCACTTATATCATGACAAATGCCTTTGCATTTCTTGTTTTTCCTGTTTGGCACTGTAACCTCCTAAGCGACCGTATCAGTTTCGCGGGGATACCAAATTCAGACATAGCGACATAAAGACAACTTATTTTCGTGCTGTCCAAAGCGGCTTTGAAATCGACAAATATACGGTGTGTGTCGATCCTATTCTCGCGAGTCTTTTCCAAGATTTGGCGTAAGGATCTGGCCTATGGTGAATTTGCCAGGTCTAAGGCCACACTGATAAAGCCCAGTCAGTTCGTTGACGGTGGACTTCAGTCTTCTACACCATACACTCGATAAGACCTTGTAATTTATGCTTAGAAACCTGATCCCTCTCGCTTACCTTTTCAGCTCCCAATTGTTCTTTCAGGCTCGCTGAAATTCCGTCTATATTTCTTCGGTGGCGGTACTTAATGAGCGGGAAATGTGGCTCCACTGTTTGTATATGTCGGTTTGTTGAAAAGTGCTCTCTTTCGTATCTTCGCTGCAGCAAGATAGTGCTCATAGTCGATGTTTGGCCCTCAGAGTGTACGTACGTCTACAAGCATTCCTCTATCCTACGAAGTTTGAAATGTGGATTTATGTGGGGCTGGTTAGGTAACGTGCTAGACTTATAAAAAAAATATATAAACATTGAGTAAACAAAAGGAAAATAGCCAAGACTAGTCAAAATATCACTTGCCTTAATCAGCTGACCACAAGGATATATACATATATATGTACATACATACATATGTATACATTAGACTGCATCACTAAAAAAGTTGCGGTTTTCCGCCGGGATTACAAAATTTATTATATTTTAAGACGTCCACCAAAACATTTCGGAAAAATATTAAGATTTGAGCGAGCTGGACCGATTTGAAAATACCTCCAAAAATGGAGTTTTTTATGAATAAAAATAGGGTCTTAAAGGACTTTTTGAAAAAAAACCCTCAGAGGGTAAAACAGATTAGGCTTAAAAATCTGCATAAAAATATTTAAAAATCTTTTCAACGGAATCGTAATGAGATTTTTGATCCCATAAGAATAGTTTTGGGCCAGTTATTTAAGTTTTTCGTAAATCAATGTTTGAAAAAAGTAAAAAGAACAGCATCAAAAATCTCAGAACTTAACGCCAACGGCATTTTACAATTTGTTAAAAAATACGTAATTAAAGAAACGAAACACATAAAACACATATTACCAAAGTCTGATTATTTCAATTAGTAACGGAATTACTAGATAATTAAATGTACATTATTGTAATACAAGTTTTTTGATGTCGGCAAGAAATGAAGAGTACGAGGCTCCGAAGAAGTTGATGTTCGACGAGTAGTTGGTAACCAGGCGATTGATTCTATTTTTGGGCTGGAGAACACGTAGTTTTTAGTGGATTTTTCTACAGCCAGAAGCCTCCTGGTTCTTAGTTCCGCCCTTGAGCAAATGAAACCAGTCTCAGCTAGAATTTCCAGAGAATCAATTATACCATTAACAACTTTAAAGAAGGTCAGGTCAGTCACTTGTCTTCTTTTCACCAGATTGGAGACATTGAATTGGCTGTAGATATTATCAACAGTCATAGTATTTTCGGCATGTGTGAAGTAAAGCATAAATTTACAAAATTTACGCTGTATTCTTTCGATGCTGTTAATTTGTTGCTGCGTGTAGGGGGACCATATCACCGACCCGTACTCTAGGATTGGCCTAACAAACGCGGAGAAAAGCATTCCTAAATTCGTTGCCGGTTCTACACACAAATCCAAATTCTCTATGCTCGAAGGGTTATATAACTAATATCTTTGCTGAAAGTTAGTTTGTCGTCGACGATTACTCCAAGGTCCTTTATTGTTTCAACTATTTGTATGCGCTGTCCACCTAGTTGATATACAGATGGTGATTGGTTATGAGATCGCGAGAAGGCGATCACTGCACATTTTTCGACATTTAAATAAAACTTGTTCAACTTGCACCAGGTTTCCAATTTGCATATGTCATTCTGGAGAGCGTATTTGTCCCGTTCGCTACTAATTTCTCTATATATTTTCAGATCGTCCGCATATAATAAGTATTCAGAGTTGAAGCTATCACCGATATCGTTTATAAAAATGTTGAATAAAATTTGGCTAAGGTGTGACCCTTGCGGGACTCCAGATACAACGTCGTACTCTCTTGACAGTGACCCTTAACGGGTGGAGAATTGCGCCGATGTAAATGTATAGGTTTGTGGTTGTAGACCTGCCTCCGAGGAATCCATGTTGCTTAGTAGTAATTATGTTTCTGAATGCAAATGTTAACTGTGGAAGAATTATTTTTTCGAACAATTTGGCCAACGAATTTTGACATATTGGTCTGAAGTTTGTAACATTAGATTTATCACCTGCTTTATGTATAAGAGTAACGTAAGATATTTTCCAGGCAGATGGAAAATTGCCTGTCTCTAGGGATTTGTCCAGAATGTGTGTAATAGGTTCGCAGAGACTGACAGCGCAGTATTTCAAAAATATGTTTGGAAGGTAATCGGGTCCAGCGCCCTTGTTGATGTTTAACGTCGACAACTGTGTGAAAACATCATCAAATCGAACTTCGAAATTCGATATGCCAGAATCCATGCAGCCACTGGCTGTGTCGTTATCTTGGAGTTCGTCGGTAGAGATTTGTAATCGAGGTGTATTATAGACGCTTTCGAAAAAGGACGCGAACAGATTACTAACGTTTGCTCCAAAGCTCGCAGTAACATCATTCCACACCATGGTTGATGGAATATCGACGTCACTCCGTCGGTTATTTTTCAAAAAGCCCCAAAATGTTTTAGGAGTCTGTTTGTATGCTTCTTTCAACTTTATCAAGATATGTAGTTCGGATAGCACTGTGCACTTAATTTCTTTTCATTTCTTGCACTCGGACTGCGAATTACTAAACATCTGGTAACGATATCGGGTTTTTTCCTTTTTAAAAGTGACGTGAGCCTCTTTTTTATTTTTTTATTTTAATTATGAGTTCCCTTGAGAACCAGCTGGGATAGTCATTGTTTATTTTTTTGCGTAGTAGTACAAACAGAGCAAGTGCATTGCTTATAACTTCATAGAACCATTTTACTTAATCATCAATGTTTGTTATTTTATAGAGATTTTTATCCTCATCCACGACAGACACTGCTTTGCTTCCTTCAATTACACAAGAGTCTCGAAACGATTCCGTAATTTTTTTTATTTTTTTTTATGTAAATTTTTTAAGCTTAAACGTTTTGTCATTTGAGGGGATTTGTTTGAAAAACATCTTTAAGAAACTATTTTTATTCATAATAAAACTACATNATTTGTTTGAAAAACATCTTTAAGAAACTATTTTTATTCATAATAAAACTGCATTTTTGGTGGGCGTCTTAAAATATAATAGATTTTATAATTCCAATGGGAAAACAGTACCGATTTTTTTTGTATGGCGAGTGATGCAGTCTAATATACATATATAACTGAAAGTCGTTGAACAAAATATCTTGAGTGATAACTGAAAATTACTTTTAAAAAATATTATTCAATGTAATGCGGCTATTCAAAATAAAAAAAAGAAATGCTAGATATAAAGTATGCGCGTTATGTATACTGGTAGCAGAAATAATATTTTTTTATAAAAGTTTGGTTCATTATAAAATAAACTGCATATAGCTTAAAATGCGCATTTATATGCAGTTTATTAAATATTACACATTAAAAAACAAAAGAAATGTAGCCAAAACTGGTCAAAATATTTCTATTATTTCAGCCACAAGTGTAGATCAACTTAGCTGAGCGACTTAAAATTAAAACATATCAAATACTATTGAAGTGGCCACGCAATCAGCGGCATTTCCGAATGGTGCCCTCTCTTAGGTTAGGTTAGGTTAAACGGGCAGCTCTGAAAAAGAGTTCACTCGGAGGCCGCAGAGGCCCATTGTGATGCCCATGGGGGTTACCCCCAAGCCTATCCCTACATGTCTTCGAACCATTTTGATTTTCTGGCGAATCCTAGCAGTCCTTCCAGAGGAGCTTTCCCCAAGATATCCAGATTCTCGAAGAAGTGGTCCCCAAGAAACTTGAGGCGTTTTCCTCGAAGTGCTGGACACTCGCAAAGGAAGTGCTGGACGGAGGTGCCGACCCTAAGGCTTTGATAGCCGCCTGACTGTCAACAACGAAGGCAAGTTTAGATGGAGCTAAGTCCATCATGCCCACCAACCTTGCCGCCATATGGATTGCATATATCTCAGCCTGAAAAACACTGCAGTGGTCTGGGAGTCTATACGACTCCCTGCCCTCTCTTAAGACTGTCAGTTCAACAACAATGACATTATATTATAGGTAAGGAAAACTAGTTTAATTCGTTTTTACTTTATAGTTGGTCATATTGATTTATTGCTTTTATAACATTTACACACGGCGATAAACCATCTCAGTTCAAATTCCTTAAAATTGGTCCTGTTTTATAGACAACTCTTATGTATGATCATTTGCTACAATTCTCTCTGGGAAGGAGATATAATTTAAATTACATACGTATACATATGTATGCACATATATGTATGTATGCAAAATTATTGGTTACTATTATAACATATTTTGATAATATTCTAATAATCTTATAAAACAAATCAGTATAAGAGTATTCGCCCATATCAAATGGGTTCTTGTATTATTGATTTTATATCCGTTTCGAGACTCTTGTGTAATGTCTGAAATTGTTTGTATAAAAATACCATATTTACACACATGCACATGCTTCAACAAAATATTTATCTAACTAAGCTTTCCTTAAGTCTGCCTTTACTTAAAACTAGGAAGCAATTTAATTACGAAATCAAACAAAAAGTAAACGGGTCGTTGTCGTACTACCATTTGGAAACATATTTCCATTAGTCAGCAGGCTGTTTGCAGCAACTGTATTTACATTAGGATACTGTTTTTCACCACGTTTACTAGTGAAACCATTTACGCTGCTCGTAACTGCCCCTTGATAGTAGGGATCCAGATTTCCGTTAAGTGGCTCGTATTTAATACGATGATTTTGTGTTAGAGGTAATACCGTCTCTGACGCTCTAGACACCTGTTTGGCCTGCAAGTAGTTTGTTTTTTTTTTTTTACAATTTGCATTGTCATAGTCATTATGCATGGTAAACAAAAAACTTACCCGGTTATAGCATAACACGCCGAATATGGCCAAAGTCATGCCGACGCAGTTTAACCACGTCACAGGATTCCCTAAAATTAACAGTGATACAGCTATCACAAAAATTCTTTTTGATGCGCTGGCAACCGCATAAGTCAGGGGTGAGACCAACGAAAGTACATTAAACGCTACCACGTTCTGCAACCAGTTCAAAACACCATCAGTGAACAAAAGCGCTATTACCCGATAATCAAATCCTGTCTAAAGAAAAAAATATTAGTTTTTTTTTATTATTGCGATATAAATTAATGTTGGTAACGAGGAATGAACTTACAATAGCAGGGTGTTGTACAACTTTAAAACTATCAACAAAAAACCAAATTGGCAAGAACATAAATAACGCTAATTTTCCTAATAGTTCCAAAAGCCGCAGATGATGCATTCCCGTATCTTTCAGCACCTGAATTGTTTTTTTATAAAGTACTTTTTTATGTATTTAAATACGGTTTTTACCTTTTTGGAGAAGATATTTTGCAGTGAAAATCCCATTGTCGATATGAGTGCGCTTATCAAACCAATCATGTCGAATGAAATCTCAGTCAAGGTAGCAATTCCAACACCCGTTATAATTGGTACTAGGCTGAGATACACTAGAGTGGGTTGCTTTTCACGAAATAGGAAACGTGTCAAGATTACGGTAAACAGTGGCATGGTGGCTTTAACTGAAACACATTTTGTAACACATGTTATATTATATATTAACAAGCAACAAATTGTAGAGAAAGTAAAATTAAAAAACAACCGCCAAAGTTTAGTTACGAAACAAAATATAGTACATACACTTCAATATATATGTAGCTAACCAAACAAATATCTGCAAAGTACCAAGCGCTTTTGTTTTTATTTTTTTTTTTACAACGCTTAACACGTCAATGATAACTGGCCAACGTGTCAAGCGATATGAGTAGATTAGCATCGGCACTCAATTGATGCTGCATTGTGCCATCCATTTGTTACAACTCACCTGTATGGGCATAGGAAACTGGTACTTTCCATAGTGAAATATGTGATGTGACGGATGAAAGAAACTTTCCCAGCGCTAATGGAATAATCAAGCGCCAATAGTAGCCTCTAGAAATGTTTTGATATTTTCGTATGCGCCACAGATTAAAGAATGGTCCACTATACAAGGCTGTACTACACAGTTGTATCATTGTCACCGTCATGGGAAATGGGAACTCGTTTAATACCATTTTGCCAATAACATTGTTGCTAGAGGATATCAGATACCAGATAATGCATAGGACTATAACCGCCACGACATGTCTGGATGAGGCGCTTCTTAATCCAGTGCGCATTTTTGTTTGCTGTACTACTTAATCACTCCCGCAACCCAGTATTCCAATGATATTCAAACACTTTTTAGCACATCTCCCTGAATTAAATATGAAATACGGGAAGCACAAACTGAATTTCGGCAGATTGTTTTAATTATTAATAAGGAAGGAGAAGAGAAACAAAAATTTGCAAAATTTTATGGCTAGAGTTGCCAGGGTTTATTATCTAGAGCTGTAGCAAACCGTATGTATTCGTTACTCAGTAGACTCGAAGTATCGAATCGTTACTCACATAATAATCTCGCATGTTCCGTTTATGCACCATTAACGCGAATCAATACAACCATGAATCAATTAGAATTGGATCATGGAATACGACACAACATAATAGGCCCGTCAGAATGGGTACTTGTACGTCTATTACGGAAAAGTATGCGAAGTGGCGTACGTAACGTAGAGATACGCCACAATGAAGGTGTTGCGTCTGCAAACAAAAATCAGCTGTTCCTAATGGGGGTTTACACAAGTCAATTTCGCAGATACAATAGCAAAACATTTATTTTACTTATATATTCACACTTCTCTTGATGTATTCGTCACTGTCTTTGACCTTTCGAAGACAGTTTATTGTCTGGACGCCTACTTTAGACAAACAATGTGACAATCAATACATATTCTCAATTGTCTTGCCTTGCGTAAACGCAGGGTTATAAAACTGTGAGCAGTGACGGACTTACGTGCGTCAAAAGTTGAGTGTTGGCCAACATGACATATCTGAAAGGGAACATATCGCAATCGTTTTCTAGGTACACGATATCGAACCGATAGTATCGATATGGTATGGTATCGATATGGTTTAAAGTATCGCTGTAAAAATATCGGGTACCCATTAATATCGAATTAAAAAGACTCGATATTCCAAATATCGATACCAAACTACAAAAAATTTGGCTGACTCCAAGACGAATTTATAAAAGGTGGTGTTACTGGCGAATTTAGATTTTCTCCGCGGTACTTACAAAATGATGTGTTTGCTGTAATATGAATTCGCCGTGTTTACATCAAACACATCATTTTGAAATGATTGTCTTGACCATATTGTCTGGTGTAAACCCTAAGNATGACATATCTGAAAGGGAACATATCGCAATCGTTTTCTAGGTACACGATATCGAACCGATAGTATCGATATGGTATGGTATCGATATGGTTTAAAGTATCGCTGTAAAAATATCGGGTACCCATTAATATCGAATTAAAAAGACTCGATATTCCAAATATCGATACCAAACTACAAAAAATTTGGCTGACTCCAAGACGAATTTATAAAAGGTGGTGTTACTGGCGAATTTAGATTTTCTCCGCGGTACTTACAAAATGATGTGTTTGTTGTAATATGAATTCGCCGTGTTTACATCAAACACATCATTTTGAAATGATTGTCTTGACCATATTGTCTGGTGTAAACCCTAAATTAAGGTCAAAATCAAGCCGAATTTATACAAGGTGGTGTTGATGGCGAATTTAGATTTTCGCCGCGGTACTTCTTAATGTCAAAATGATGTGTTTGCTGTAAAATGAATTCGTCTTGTTTACAACAAACACATCATTTTTACATTAGGAAGTACCGCGGCGAAAATCTAAATTCGCCATCAACACCACCTTATATAGGCTACGTTTCTTTATACATTCCGGATAATCCCATTTCACAGCCGGAATAAACAGAATGCTTTTGAAATATACGTTAACATATCATCAGGAACGTTCTAAAGAATAAGTAAACAAAAAAGTTTATTCCAAACGTTCAGAATGAATAAAGAAATTCAGAAATTATCCTTTCTGCGTTGCCGGAGAAGAGGGCACCTTATGTGAATAAACTACAGAGGGTCAATTCCCGTTCTGCGTTATTGTGAAGTGAAGTGAAAAGTATAAAATTAACACCGAAATAAATGCGGAGTAAAGGTGTTATTTTTATCGCTTTACGATAACGCAGAAGGGGAATTGACCCTCAGTAAATATAAGGTTGTCACTTGTTTGTAAATGCATTTAAATTTTTGTTATCACTGAATTCTCAAGCCTCAAAAGCAGATCATAGTAAAATATTTTTACTAAATTAAAGGTAATAACTTGTACTCTTTTAGTAATGCATATTTCTTTAGCATTAATCACGCAATTTTTTCAAAAAAGTCATTTTATGAAAAAAAATATGAAATTTTTTTACTTTGTTAATATTTTTGGCTTTAAGATATGAAAAATAATATAAACTAGATAAATGAACTGAAAGATACATTAATTCACGATCCAGAAAAGAAAGGTCGCGCCATTCGCGGACCGCTAACCCTCTCTTCGTCGATTTGACAGCATCCACCTAATCACTGACGTCATAAAATACTTTTGTTTACATTCCCTGTTGCCAACTTCATGCTTTTCGCACCAATTTAGTGGGTTTGGTGCTTGGCGCGTTTTTGGTGCTTTTGTTTTTTAGTTTGAAGACACCAAATTAGAAAATCTTTAAAAAAATGGAAGCAAAATTTATAGCAATTGTAAGTGTGGTAAGCAACTTTACAAACATTTAAACAAAATCATGGCACAGTGACAATCATAAGCGACAACAAAATATGTGGAAGCAAGAATGATAGAATACAAGATTGCGCCGATCAGAGAGGATTTTTGAGAATAACTTTTGTGTGACGTCACACTGGTGCAATTGCGAGAGAGAAATGCCAAAACGTGAGCAAGAATGGAAGAAGAAGAAAAAATGTTGCAAGGAAAACGTAAACAAGTTGCACCAGTGTGACGTCATGCCAACAACGATTCTGTCAAATTCGTTAAGAGAGGAATAGCGGTCCGAGATCGGCGCAATCTTTGTATTCTCTCAATCGTGATGTGGCAGCACCTTCAATTATGCCAGGAGAAATCAACCGTCGTGCAAGAAACATTCATTTTTATTAATTTGAATCGGCATCCTTACAATAAAATTATGTATGCATATAAAGTCTATAAAATACTCCAATAAAAATTTGGTGCTTTTTCAAATTCAAAACTTGGCAATACTGCCTTTTGTCCGATGCTTGCTCTTTTTCTTGTCGAGTTCGTCTTGCTCTCTCATTCTGGTATTTATTGACGTCACGGCCGGTTGCTCTCAGCTCGATTGGCGCAATCTTGTATTCTATCATTCTTGACATTAATTATCTTTATTTTGACGCATTACTTTTTGTAATCGGTTATGTAGTTCATAAGATATTAATATTTTAAAAAAGTCTAAAAAATAACTTTCAACACGAAAACTAGAAGGCCATGACCGCTGAAAGCGGGTATATTTGAAAAGTGGAGAAGCCCAGCTTTCCAATAGCAAACTCAAAATTTTTCGCCCCGGTTATCGTAATCCCCCCATTTTCGTTATTTCCTAACGAAATCATTGAACAAATTTCCTTGCTTCATTTTCGCGTTTTTTTTTAATAAAATGGAAAGCAAAATATCGGTACCGAATGCCAAAAGTATCGATATGGTATCGTATCGAAATTCGTGTCCCTATCGTTTTCTGAAATGGTGTCACTTTGACTTTAGTTGTCAAAATAAATTTTTATAACTAGACGATTTTTCATATACGTGCAAGTTTTAGGGACTGGAAAATAGGTTAAAATCGAATTAACCGTGATATATTTGGACGCTGAATCGGATGGAAAATTGAAGTGCACAAACAAGAAGTGAAAATTATGCAAAATCGCACCTGGGAAGAATGTAAACAAATACACCTGGGGTGAATGAGAAGAAGAAGCAGGAATAAAACGTGTAGCTATTTTTGCGCTTATGTGTTGGAATTTTTGCTATTAGGCGCGTTTCAGCAGCGGCTGGAGCTGAAAAAATAATTTAATATAATAATTTAGCGCAGAACCAAGTAAAAATAAAACAAATAAACTTAGATATACATCTTTCCAGTTTAGCGTACACGTTCTTGGTTGGTTTTGGTGACTCGGTGCGTGAAATAGTAGTTTTGTTAACCTTGTAACTGCATTACAATAGAATACGATTACAAATGTGGTTTCGTTAGAGCTTTTTTTTATATTTGAACCAAATTTGTCTTTGTAAACACGAAGGGCAAACAATATTAATGCTTGGTGAAAAACGGTGACGAGAAGCAGTAGAAATTGTTTTAGATTGTCCGAAAATGGTAAGCATTACAATAAACTCCGACGAATTAAAGAGCCTTTGGTTTGTTCTTATGTATATAAACATATGTATAAGTGGATGGAATAGTTTCCATAAATAGTGCTGTAAGATTTTATAATAGACCAAGTATATACACTTTTTATAAGAATCTTACAGCTTGGTTCTCCTACCTGCCGCCTATGGGAACTAGTTTTGCAAACTACAGCCTTGTGCGAGTAGTGCATTGAACCACTGTGCAGATTATATTATTTATGCTAAACCGGTTTCAACATTTCAATTGGCTTAGATGATCATAAAGTGTAACAACTTTTACAAGAAATTTTTCTGTATACGAAGATCAGTTTGTGGGCTATAAAAAGATCCAACTCATGTTATAAATCATGGTATTTGTAAAGAAGTTAGGGCTCGCATACCGTTTTGTAATTATTTGGAAACATTATGAACACTACTGTTATTAGTCTGTTGCATTCATAAAGATATTCAAGCATTATAATTTAAAAGCAAATATGTATACACAATTAATTCTGCCAATTTGTTACTTTCTATCAGCGTAGCGTCTCTGCAACGGACACGCGACTGGTTTGTGGTACAATTCAAAATAACTCATCTATTGTATGTTGGGTTTAAAACTATACTAAATGTATAAAAATCAGAATAAACTTATTTAGGGAGTTCACAAGGCGTTGTATACTGTCGTACTGTTGTATGTCATAAACTTTAAACGGCGAAAACTATATTTAAGGAATTCGCAAGCTAACATAAAAGTTTTATTATGAAATTTCACACAATTAAAAAATAGTTGGTGGTGATTTCAAGTCATCTAAACATTTATTTTGCCGTTAACAACTTTGCAACATACAAGAATACGACAAGTACGACACCTTGTGAACCACCCAATTGTTTACACCCACGAAATTAGCTTTGCGCTTATTTGGTTTTGGATCGAGAAACTGGAAATAATATTAGGCGACACTGCAATGATGAATTGTTGTAGAGCGCAGTATATAAGATCACGGCACCCAGTGAACACCTATTGTTTTAAAATTTTATTTTCTTTGTACATTTTACATATTTTACGTTAGTCCTAATTGTCTGGTATGGGTGTTAATTTACATAGGATACATACATCTGTACATATTACTGATACTAATCAGCAAGCTTTTTCTTATTATCTTTCTTTAATCTCTTATAACACTAATATACAGAGCTCTCCCATCGTTACTCGTCGTGGTGCGCAAAAAGCTAAAATACAAACTCGAGCAATGGTCAAATCTGCAGTCACAGCTAGCAAGCCGAGCGCAGCGCTACTTGAAGCTAAACGCAAAGCAAAATTACTTAAAATGGAAGAGCAAAACCAACAGGATCAAGTTGTGAAAGATATTTTCCAAAATGTAAACTGTTATTTATGTTGATTGGTTTACTAACTGCTAATATATCGTATTTCTAGGCTGTAAGCGCTAAATCAATTGTACAAATGCCAACTGGCATTGTTTACGATGAGTCTATGGCACAGCATCGCTGCCTTTGGGATGATAATCATCCAGAAAGGCCAGAACGATTCGTTCGAGTACTGGAGAGGTAAGTTTGATTGAAAATATCTAGATATTTGTGTTTAGCTACGTCAGATTGGGAATTAACAAAAAATCTTTATTTATTGGAACTAACATATGCAGGTATGCGTGCATGCACTTACATATTAGTTGTGTTTAATGAGACTGAAAAAAGAGCAGAGCAGATCAAGTTAGAGCAGGATGTGTGTGTTAGAGAAACTCCGATCTGAACCGTTGATTTCTCGAGAACTCGTAATTGTAAAATGTGTGTTTGCTTGCTCTAAGTTACGGCAACAAAAAAAGGTGGTGCTGAAAGTTGTCCTTTAAGTTCCTCTGGTTCCATTGAGTGCAGGCTCTCTTGTTTCATGAGTAGAACAAGATAGAGCAAGAAAAATCCTCATGAAACACAATTTGGTGATATATCTTAACCTGACGTAACCTAGAACAGCTCATTAAACACAACTATTACGTACATAAGTGCATACATTTTAGATCATATCAGTATTATAGATGGGCACGGGCCGGGCTTTTGACAAGGGGCAATAGTACATATTTAAAACTATTTTGATAAGAGAAAAGCAAAAAAAGAAATATTTGGAAACCGATAGAAAATATATGATACTTAGTAGTTTTGTTTACATATAGTTGCGTTCCAGATGCTTCACGGTATTCACGATTTGCAGGAACAGCTGTCTTCTCCATTAATAAACGTTATGTGAGGTGGTCACCTGGAACGACTTCCTGTAAAAACCTGCAAATCGGGAAGCATCTGGAACGCAACCCATATCTATACATAAAATACCTTCCACTTTTTCTACTTCCCAGAAAATATATTATAAAAATCTTTGATTGGTTCACTTAAGTAAATAATCATATGGACATAAACACAAAATTAAAAATATGTACATATGTATACATACAATAAAAGTTGGCTCTTTATTACCGGGCTGGGGCGTGTCCCGTCGTGCCTGGCCGGGCCCCGCTAAAATTCTTAACTTGCGGGCTTGTGCGTGTTTTTGAAAGTTGATTTTGCACTCGTGCCGGGCCCGTGCCCATCTCTAATCAGTATAATACAACCATTGACATTTAAAACTGTGATGCAGATAAGTCTTAACGCTTAAATTGAACACACTTCTGACAAACATCAATAAAATCTGTAAAATAGCAGATATATTTATATACACCCCTATTCTGCTACGAATCGTAGAAATAGTATGCTGCAACTCGAATCGTATTTTCGAACTTTCGAAATTCGTAACAATGGCATGCCTGAAAACGAACGAGTAAGCTTTTTTGCGTAATTTTGTACGAAAACCATTCTGTGTCGGAGGCGAGATAAAAGATGTTCTGCACAAAGATACTGTGGACGGCGTTTCCGGAGTGATATGCACAAGAAACGTTGCATACCTTTGACATGCGGAAGCCCCTCTTCTCCGGCAACACAGAAAGGAGAATTCTACTTAGTAAGGGTTATAATGCCTAAGCGTGGCCGAAGGCATAAGCAAGCGCAACAGGTGGTGGACCTAACAAAATGCAGGTTTTCAATGGCTTGGAAGAATCTGTTATTGCATTAACTGGATTTAGAACCAGTTCTTCAGGCATAGTAGGAGTTCTGGCTTGTGGTTCCACAATTAAACCAGAAGCTGACATAGATGCGCCCATGGTTACTATGCCAGACAGCTCTGCATATCTTTGTGAAATCATTCCCATAGCGCGCTCTTTCTCCGCTGCTATAATTGCAAATGCAATAGAATCCATCGTTTCCTTCAAACTTTGTAAAATCAAACAATTGTACTATAAATAAGTACTTCATTAGTATTTTTTAATTCCTTCCCACTTTGTTTTCCTTCATTCCGCTATCTTCGAAAAACAACTGATAGCTGGCATTGCTGCACATCATGGTTGCCACAATTGGTAACTTTCTACCAAAAGTGGTAACTTTTAAACGGTTTGGTAACTAGGTAACTTTTATTTCATTTTGGTAACTTTTGCAACTAAATATCTATTTGCATTACTAGAAAGAAATGGATTATGTTTTGCATGTGCGTAATTATAAAAGGCCTTCGAGTTTCAGTGGCAGCACTACCGACACTTCTACAAAATTACTTCGTTAAAATTAGAGTCATCTCACAACAACTAAACAACAACAACTAAAACAACTTTCGAATTTTTGCGATAAATTTTAAATTCTACCATCTCAAATTTTAATAGTGGCCATCTGGCAATTTTCGGTAAGGTCCATAAATCGTTTTGATTATTCCGGCACAAAAAAAAATGTAGCATGCTTTTTACTAGACCCACCTACCCACATGTATTTCGACCCACTGAATTCAAATCTGAGGTCCGTTTGACACGTACACTAAATTATGAAAAAGCGAAAAAATAGCAAAAAATTTGCAAATTTCGCAATTTACTCGAAATTTTGTACGAGTCAAACGGACGGTTAAAAGCACCCGCATCTTTTTTTTTTTGTGTGCCGGTGCCATTATTCCGTGAGTCGCAAATATCGGCACATTCCGGACGAAAAATGATACTGAAATTGGCACAACGTCGAAACCGGTTTGTTTCCAAACCAAATTTGACAAGGGATGATGGAAAATCATTCCACATGACATCATACTCCTACCCTGTCGGAAACACCAACAACGAAAATGAGAATAACGGCACATGCAACAATTAATTGTAAGAAAAATATTTTTATAATTACTATTATAATTGTCAATAGCATTTTCAATCTTGATAATTTATCAAGAAAATAGATTTAAACTTCTGTGCTAGAACTGAGAGTTCTTGATAAATAATCAAAAATTGACAAATTATAAAAATATTGAATTTATTAAGTCACAGAAACCGGCTGTAAGTATATACACATTTGTTGTGAAATATAGCAGTTTTATTCAGTACATATATTTTTTTCTCAGTGAAGAAGTGAAGAATTTGGTAGTGAAGATTTGGTAACTTTTGGTAACTTTCTTAAGAGATTTTGGTAGAAAAAAATGTTGGCGAGTGGCAACCATGCTGCACATGCTTCGGCAAAGGTTGCAGCATTGGATTTTTCGTTTTTCGTAGCGTAACTACGAATTACGAAAATTCGGGTTCTAGAATAAGGGGCATAATTTAGATCTGCACGGTAGAAAGCTTCATTTGACCCTAGCCAAAAAGTTCTCAAAATGCAAAGCTCCATGAAAATTTATAATATTCCAAATTAAAAATAAGAAGAAAAATTAAGCAGCTTTCATGGTTTTTTTCAAGAGAGAAATACGCAAAAAAGTAGTGACATTTTCAGACATTTATTAATGACAGTATCTATAAATTTGTATTGTTAAAAATGTCGGTGCCAATNTTCCAGCAAGAATTTGCAACTTCTCTCCAAGAGAACTGTCACTTTGCTCTCACAATTTTTGAGTGTTGGATAATTTTTTGGTCTGCACGAACGCGATTTGGGCAAAAATCGTGATAATTCGTACAAATTCGTACAAATTTTTTGCTCGACGAACAAACCTATTGCCTACTCGTGTCACAACAGCAAAGTATCGGTATCGTACACAAATATCGATGTATTAAAAAATAAATTTATGTGGATGATTACTTCGATAAATAAATATATCGAAAGTGATGATGAATATACATGTCGATATTGGTGTTGATGCTTCCGCATTTAAGTGTATCTTAGTGTATCAAGAATAATATCAATTAAATAAAAGCTTATAAAAATTAATGCAAGTATGAGTGTGGTGAAACCGCCACGTTTGTGCGGATGACAACTTTAACAAATAAATAAATTTTTGGAAGCGATCATTTAGTTATGTCGATAACGNATGAATATACATGTCGATATTGGTGTTGATGCTTCCGCATTTAAGTGTATCTTAGTGTATCAAGAATAATATCAATTAAATAAAAGCTTATAAAAATGAATGCAAGTATGAGTGTGGTGAAACCGCCACGTTTGTGCGGATGATAACTTTAACAGTATTAATAAAAGGCGACCTAAACGATTTCTAGGTATATGGATAATAGTATCGATAACAAATGCTAGTACGATTGCGGTATTGATGAATTTATCGAAAACAAAAAAAAGGTATTACGGAGATAACGGTATTGATAATTGCCCTTTCAACGNAAATGCTAGTACGATTGCGGTATTGATGAATTTATCGAAAACAAAAAAAATGTATTATGGCGATAACGGTATTGATAATTGCCCTTTCAAAGTTTATCTTGGTATAACGATAGCGAATACCAGTATGGTTTTAGTGGAACATCGCCATCCTAGAAAAATTTAAATTGCTTCATGCATTTAACATTAAAGTCTTGGTATAAGACAAAATTTCAAATCCATTACAGGCTTAATACGTTTTCATGTTTTGTTTTTTTTTTCTTATAAAACCTAGATGCAAAGAACTGCAACTAATTGACCAGTGTAAGAAAATTCCANAAATTTAAATTGCTTCATGCATTTAACATTAAAGTCTTGGTATAAGACAAAATTTCAAATCCATTAAAGGCTTAATACGTTTTCATGTTTTGTTTTTTTTCTTATAAAACCTAGATGCAAAGAACTGCAACTAATTGACCAGTGTAAGAAAATTCCTTCACGCCGTGCTACAAAAGACGAAGTACTTCTACTGCATAGCTCCGACCACTATGAACTTCTACAGCAGACTTCGGGTGTGCAAGATGAAACGGCAATGGAAGATCTGAGCTCGAAATTCGATTCAATTTACTTACATCCGGTTTGTATTACAATGAGTAGCAATTAGTATAAGAGTAATAATTATTTTACTTTGCTACCCCTTCAGTCCACATTTGAATTGTCTCTATTGGCCACAGGTTGCACCATTGATTTAATTGAGAACATAATTTCCGGTAATGTGCAGAATGGCATAGCTATTATTCGACCACCGGGTCATCATGCGATGAAAGCTGAATTCAATGGGTACTTGTCAATTCACTTGCTTGTACTTGTATGTTGTTTCGAAAGCACTCAACGCTGTATATATGTGTATGTATATTCCCCAGTTACTGTTTCTTCAACAATGTGGCAATTGCAACGCAATACGCTTTGGACATTTTGAAGTTAAGTAAAATAATGATTGTGGATTGGGACATACATCACGGACAAGGCACACAGCGTTTCTTCTACAATGATCCTAGGTGACTAAAACTAACTTTATAAATCGCTTTCGAAATAAGGCCCATTTCTGTTGCCTAATTTTAGGGTTCTTTACTTTTCCATTCATCGCTTTGAACATGGCACCTTCTGGCCTAATCTTAAGGAATCGGATTTTGATGCCATCGGCTACGCCAACGGCATGGGTTACAATTTTAATGTACCATTGAATAAAACTAAAATGGGCAATGGCGATTACTTGGCCATTTTCCAACAATTATTAATACCCGTGGCCATAGAATATCAACCAGAATTGATTATTATATCGGCGGGTTATGATGCAGCCTTGGGTTGTCCCGAAGGCGAAATGGAGGTCACACCCGCATTCTATGCTCATATGCTGAATTCTGTAATGAAGTTAGCTCAATCACGTGTCGCCGTCGTCTTGGAAGGCGGCTACTGCCTTGATTCGTTATCGGAGGGTGCAGCACTCACGCTGCGTACATTGCTGGGTGGCACCTGCCCTACACTGGTGGAGAAGTTGGAGCCACCAAGCGAAGTTATACAAGACACAATACTCAATTGCATTTATGCGCACCGTACATACTGGCGTTGTCTGCAAATTCAGCCAGTATATACCATGGAGGAGCTGAATAATGTGAATCCCCAGCCAAAGTTGCACAAAGTTGGTCGACTATTCATTGGCGGCAAACCTCTGCCAGAGCGTTTCCCAACCAGAGGCACAGCGCCGGTAACACAACCCGAAGTTGTGGCACAAAATGAGAAACGTTTAAGATTTCTTAAAAATGGTATTTATTTGCCAAAAAGTAAGCATACTTTATAGCAAACAAATTTAATATCTGCTTCATTAATTTAGAAACCAAATTGTTGGCACCGAAAATACGCGTATGCTACGTCTACGATGAGCTTATGCTNAAAAAAAAAAAAACGAATAAAAAAATATATTAAAATTCATCTTCAGGCTTTGCAAAGTAACGAAATGTTCGCCGTTGTTCCATTAAAAACATGTCCTCATTTAAAACAATTGCGCCCTGAGGAGGCGCCGAAAAGTAAGCAGCGTGTCTTTTGTTTTGTTTGAAAGCATTATTTCACTATGATTTCAATGTCGTGTTCTGAAACTTGTAGGTTTGTTTCAAAATTTTACTATTTTTGTTACTTGTTGCTTAATACGTTTGGCTTGAAAAATTTCTTTTTTCGCTTTTGCTTCTTTCACTTTTGGCGAAAGTGCCCATAGTAAGGCTGAGTCATGTTTTTATACTTTTAGGAGATTTTCATAAACTCGAAAAAGTTGAAAACTCGATACTCAGAATCCTCGGGTACTCGGTACCTGTTTTATAAAAAATTTTAAGACTTTTTCTAGTTTAAGAAAATAATCCTGCTGATCATTTTAAATACCTTCAGTTACTTGTTCTTTTTCATACTTTTGTACACATATTCACTCATGTATCTGTACATCTGTGGCATGCGACGAGAATAATTAATTGTATTTAGCTTACCTTATTGCTGAATGTTGGTGTTGTGATCTGTAAAAAAAAACAATTTAAATATTGGGCAGGATCGTTTTTATCAAATTGTAGTTGAAGTAAGCTCAATAAGAGAAGCCTNTAGTTTAAGAAAATAATCCTGCTGATCATTTTAAATACCTTCAGTTACTTGTTCTTTTTCATACTTTTGTACACATATTCACTCATGTATCTGTACATCTGTGGCATGCGACGAGAATAATTAATTGTATTTAGCTTACCTTATTGCTGAATGTTGGTGTTGTGATCTGTAAAAAAAAACAATTTAAATATTGGGCAGGATGGTTTTTATCAAATTGTAGTTGAAGTAAGCTCAATAAGAGAAGCCTAGACTTACATATTTAAAATTCAATATCTAATTCATCGAAGTCCACAACGCTTTCTTCAAAAGCCCTGTCAAATCAATAATTAGTAGAAAATAGATTAAATGACAAACAAAATAACTGTAATTCTGTGTCCTAACTATCTACATGCATTTATTAGCACTCATATCTTTTATGTATATGATTATGCATATAATCCAGTACGTTTTATTTTTGCATGCATTCTATTTTATTTTGTACATCATACGCGTGTATGTACATATGTCTTTATGTTTAAGGCTTCTTTCACTTTCATCTTCCTTTTATGATTTCCGGAGTTTTCGGTTAACGCCTAAATATGTACGTATATTTAAAAATTACCAATCGTTCTAATAAACCCTCTCTTCACGCACTTTTCCATATTTAGCCATAGATATCAATGCCCCATGCGAAGAATGCTCATCAACGACCGAGAATTGGATATGTTTGAGCTGTTACAAAATACTTTGCGGTCGTTATGTTATGGAACATATGCTTTTGCACAGCATCGAAACAGCACATCCCATGGCACTTAGCTTCAGTGATTTGTCCGTTTGGTGCTATCCTTGCGAGGCATATATTGATAATAGTAAATTGCATATATATAAAAATCTACTACATCTACATAAGTTCGGCGAGGATATGGCATGGTCGTATCCAGCAAAATTTAGCAATAGTAACCACGATGATGACGACGAAGATTATGATGAAGACGATGAGTTTGATGCAAATACATTTACCATTCAGCTTGACCACAGCAACTGACAGTGTCTGTTGTTACTGTTGAAGACAGTGCAAAATTATTTATGTACTTCATTTCCACCATTGCGACATGTTTTCCATTTTATTACCCAGTATCTTTGGCCGTTGATTTATCGCCTTTACTTTAAATTGATGTATTACTTTTTATCAAGTTGATGATTTATATATTAGTTGTAAACATATGTAAATCCACTTGTATTGACTACAAGGACTTGAATGGTCTATAAGTTTTTATTAACAAAACAAAATTATACAACTAACCAAAGACTTGGCAACAGAAATTAAATCAAATCACATAAACAAATGCACTATTTGTATTGTGAGCTGGCTAGTTTAAGTATGGCTCTGAAGAATGTTGGCTGAAAAATATGAATGTATATGCGTCTGCAATACCAATTTCATTGTTAACTAATGCAACTAACTTTTTCGAAATTTTAGTTAAGTTGTTAAGAGAATTTCATAAAACTCAAACTACTATATTATTACACTATTATAACGTAATGTTTAATTTTTATTTACAAACAAAATAGTTGATTAATTTACCTTATACATACCTGCAAATATATATTCTTAACTAAACAAATTGGGATATACACATGTTCATACGTACGCGTGTATATACATATCGTCGTTTAAAGTACAAAACCGCGTATCAACAACAAAATGCAAAACCGCGTATGTGAGGTTGCATAAATTATTTTCTAGAAAGTAAAAACACTCGTATTTCAAAATTGTTCGATATACATATCGTCGTTTAAAGTACAAAACCGCGTATCGTCATTCTGCATAACCGCGTAACTGACATTGGCTGCCAAAAATTGGATTTGCTCACACAAGCTCTTAGCCCAATCCTTATCCATTCGTCCTTAAATATACTAGCCAGAAATGCGATTGCTTTATAAAAAAAAGAGAACCATTTAGAAATATGAGTGTTTTTACTCTCTAAAAAATAATTTATGGAACCTCACATACGTGGTTTTGCATTTTGCTGATACGCGGTTTTGCATTTTGTTGATACGCGGTTTTGCACTTTAAACGACGATATATGTAAAAAATGAGCAATTATAATTAAACTGACTGTTTTTACGAGTGTAAAAAGAGAATTTAACATACAAAATATATTTAATAAAACATAGAAAAAGATGTGATTAAGCTGAGAATTATCATTTCATTGACAAAAGAACTAGCGAAGCGCTCTGATGTACAAGAAATTATTCACTATTTAGCATTGAAGGGCTGTTACACAATTTTACTATTAACACTTTTTCGGCACCTCTGCTTTTTAATACTATCAGTCATCGCTTAAGCAAAAGCGAAAATGTTCAAATTGTAGAGTTTTTAAAAATAAACTAACAGTACTAATTTTTGACCTGAAATTCTACCTCTACCTATCCCATTATATTTTGTACGTACTTATAATAATAATAATAATATTATTATTATATATTATTATTATTATTATTATTATTATTACTAATTTTTGACCTGAAATTCTACCTCTACCTATCCCATTATATTTTGTACGTACTTGCCGCTCCCACTTCTCAGTGGCGATTTGCAGAACAATATATGCATGTATATCCTATATTTTAGAGATTCTAATGCAACGCTTATGTAGATTTAAAACAAAATTTGTTACATAACTTTTTTATTTATTTTTATTCTTCGGTTTCTTGTGTAACGGTCCATTTGGTTTTCCTTGTTCCTTTTCTCGTTTAGGTACATTCTCTAAATTTTTTCCTTTCCTTTTTCGCGACTTTTGCTTTTCTTGGCTACAGCTAGGCTCACAACTAGAACCACTTTTATTGCTTTCATTCTCCGGTACATCATTTTCATCCTCTTCGTATTCAATAGTAACAACGCCACGTTCTGGCTGCTTTTCGCTGTTTCTGGTAGCAATACTTGTTTGCTTTGTGTCATCATCTGAGGCGCTTTTCGTTGCATATTCGTCACCAAATTGCGTTAGATCCAATATACTAAGACAAGTTGGCCGGCAACCTATGTTGGTTGTGCACAACGGTGTAAATTTTTTCTTGTCGACACTCACTTTCCAGGCTTTCATTTCACCAGAGCTGAAAAAAGTAGAATTACTTTATTTGAGCATTACTAAAATTTATGCAAAACTTTTGCTTACAAACCTTGAGACCGTAATTAAGGTATTTTCATGGAAAGCCATAGCTTTGACTCTTGAGCTGTGGGCTGCGCTTAGCTTTTCCTAAAAGAACCCATTTATTTACTCGTTTATTTAATGATTTTTGTTACCGTCCTTACCTCTTGTTCTGAATCTGTTGCAATGAGCCAAAGTATTTTACCATTTTCTAAGCCCACTAAGCACGTGTCGTCAGACACCCAACAAACTGATATGGGTTTTTCTTGTGTCTTCTGACTCAATAATACATCTGCGGTTTTTATTGACCAGATCTCAGCGGCACGTAGCCCACAAAGTATAAAATAATCGCCAGTCGGTGACCAAGTAAGACAATCTGGTTGTAGTCCCAAAGTGCTGCGACTTTTTAAATTTGTTCTATATGCTACTCGACCCTTGACCAAGTTCCAAGTGCACAAAACGCGGTCAGCGCCTAGGGACAAAGCTAACTTACCGCTGGGATGGCAACTGATTTGACTGACTGCTGACCCTTTGTGCGCTTTCCAGTTACCTTCTGTTGCCCAAGTATTTAGGCGAGTAGCAATCATACGTCCATCACCGCCACCTGATATCAAGTGAGAGCTGTCGGGCGTGAAAGCCAAGGCGTTAATCGTGCCTTCATGTGACAAAATGATCTGAAATAATGAAAGTAGGAAAAATCTTCGACAAATTCATCATTACTGCTTCTTACGTTAGTTTGTTTGCGCGAACGCATGTCATATAAGAAGATGCGATCATCTGTAGCGCCAGTGGCCACAAAATGCTTATGCACTGCTACACATTTCAAAGGACCCGCATGGGATTTATCCGCAAACGACTGTACGAAACAGTTATTTTCCTTTGTTGTGAGTTTATAGCCTAGAAGAAACTCCTCATAGGTTCCAACAATTACCTCCATAGCTCCGGAATTTCNAAAGGACCCGCATGGGATTTATCCGCAAACGACTGTACGAAACAGTTATTATCCTTTGTTGTGAGTTTATAGCCTAGAAGAAACTCCTCATAGGTTCCAACAATTACCTCCATAGCTCCGGAATTTCTCCAATATTTTCTTTTTTAACACCGGTTGACAACTAACTCGCACGTGGGGAATGTTATGAAAATGAAACATTTAGGAGCATGAACGAAAGCTAGGCGAATATATATAAGTCCCCTTTCAGACACGTCAAGTCTTGAAAGCAGTTTTTTTCGCATTCTCTTTTGTGTTCTATTTGCTTCCACACGCGCCAACTTTAATTGAATTCAAGTCCTTGGTTCTTTAAATGGGAAGCAACGAAAAGATCGAAAGAGACAAGAAAACTTGAAGCGAATTGACGGTACGGAGGTATCTGTAGCCCGTTTCTGTAACTTTTCTCTACCGATTATTTCTCTACTGGTAGAGAAAATATGTCACTCTCACCTACTAATTACCAGTAGAGAACAGGGTGGCGAATTCATACCTCAATTCGCCTTGGTAGAGAATTGTTACAGAAACGAGCTACTGTACTCTTCCCCTCTCTTCTCACCTCCTTCGGCAACGAACGAGCAGACTTGAAAGCAAGACTTGACGTGTCTGAAAGGGACTAAGAGTTGCGTTCCCTAACTCGCAAGAAGTTGCAAGAATTAACAGGAATTTACCAGAAAGCGTTCCCGTACTCAGTTCTCTGACTTCTTTTGCTTTTTGACAGTTTACAGGTTTTAACACAGAAAAGTTGGGGAACGCAACTAAGGTGGTATCGATTCAACAAATACAACAATTAGTTGTATTTTGTTTTTGCTTTTAGCGGGCTATCTTTCAGCTATTCTTCCCCGAAGCAAGGCGAATCTATACAAGGTGATGTTATCGGATCCGCTGATTTCACGGCGAATTTGTACCTTTTGTCAAAATCATGTGTTTGTTGTAATTTAGCTTTGTACTGATTGTCAAGGAGCGTATAATNGTCAAAATCATGTGTTTGTTGTAATTTGGCTTTGTACTGATTGTCAACGAGCGTATAATTTGTTGTAATTTTTGTTTTTGTTCTGTTAACACCACCTTGTATAAATTCGCCTTGCCCCGAAGGAAAAAGGGGGACAGAAAATACAAACACTCTCACGTTTTCACTCACTCACTAGCGAAATACAAAATTTTAGCAATCAAACGCTACTCACAGCTGATGAAACAGCACCACCCAAGGTGTATTAAACAAGGTGGTGTTGGGGCGACAGCTGAGTTTTTCGCCGTGGAGGCCATTACGTCAAAATGATGTGTTTGTTGTAACTCATACCAATGACAGTATGGACATCAGCGTATAATTTGTTAGTGTAATTTTTTACTTATATACGGCCAACACCACCTTGTTAAATACGCCTTGTATTTTTGAGTCTCTTTTTCGCTAATTACATGTATTTAAATAGCATTGAACACAAATCAGAAAATACGCCATATGATGTCACGATCAGCTGATTTAAAATGCATCTAGAGATGAGCAGACAAAATAGTCGGTACAAATGTGAAATTCTAGATATTTTTTGGTTTCGATGAATTTACATGATTATAT